TCTTCTGGTCTTTGGTCTTTAGTGTTTAATGTATCAAATCTGTTCTTCAGATGATCTCTAAATTCAGGTGGGATATATTCAAGGTCATATTTTGGCTCTCTTGGACTTGTTATAGGGTCCCTATTAATCAGAATCCACTTGAAGGCAGTGTTGGGTCTTGTTTGGTTAATATATACTGTATATATTCTTACTCTAGGATGTAGTGTTTATGAATCGGGCTGCTAACCTCAAGGCTGGCAGTTCGAAACTACCAGCTGTTTCGCGGGAGAAAGATAAGGCTTTCTGCTCCCGTAAAGATTTGCAGCCTCGGAAACCCTGTGCAGGGTCATTATGAGTCGGAACCGACTCCACGGTACTTAACAGCAAGTATGTGTCCTGGTGTGGCACTGTGGGTTGATGAGCCAGACTGCAAAGCCATTTGAACTGCAAGGTCGGTGGTTCAAGCTCACCAGCTGCTCCTCAGAAACCCTATTCAGGGTCGCTATGGGTCGGAACCGACTCGACGGTACTTAACAACAACAGCAAAGTATGTGTTAGGCACATAGCAAAACGTGCTTTATATAAATTAACTATTTTAATATTAAGAAGCAGTACTAAATAAATAGTTCTATTTTATATATGATAAAACTAAGATATAGAGAAGTTATGTTACTTTCCAGTGCTTTCACATTTACTAAACACTTTGCACTAAAGGTCCTGAGAGAGAGAGCGCGCGCGTGCGCGAGTACACACACACACACACACACACACACACACACACACACACAACACAAGGCCTCAGATTCTCAGTCCATTTGGAAAAGTCCACTGCAGACCGGAAAACTACAATTCCCAGAGGTCATTGCGCGCTCAAGTCTGCGCGCGGACGTGTGCAGTATCAATTGAGACACTTGGGGTGCGCTGTGTTCGGTAGCTTTCCAGCTCTGCCCACGCGGCCCGTGCCTCTTCCTCGACCACTGGCGTGGTGCGGGGTCTCAGCAACTGTGTCCCTCGTGCTTGGACTGATCCAGGATTCACGATTCCGACTTGATTCACCATGGAGGAGGCGGATCGAATTCTCATCCATTCCCTGCGCCAGGCTGGCACGTAAGGACACTGCCCTGCTCACCCGGAAACCCCTGAAAACCCACATCCGGGACTCCATAATCTCGAATTCTGTTATCCCGTTACCTGGGGACCTGAAAACCCGGGACCTTGACATCTAGGGCACCAACTTTCAGATTTAAGACACTGCCCCTCCTCTGCTGGCATCGGGGGTGGGCTCTCAGACCCTTTGTTCCTGACACAAAGTTAACTCAAAGATACAGACCCGAACATGCTAAAACAATCTTGAAACCCCTAAGACATGGGACCAGCGGACTCACTAGGGTTGGTGTCACTCACTTATAAGGATAAGGGTCACTTATCCTTCCAGCTCTCAAATAGTGCCTGCTGAACAAATAAATACCTTTTCCAAATGGACTTCTGCCCATACCAGATAATCCAGAATCCTTAGTAATGTATATTATCAATTTTTATTATAGAATAATATGTAATAAATATAGTTGTAAATTTCTTAAATGTAACATTTCTTAAATTATCTGAATACTAGCAACAAAATTGTTTATAAAATCATTCTTCAATGAATTGGAGCAATTATTAATTATAGTATTATTAGTAACTGAGTAGAAATCTTTTAAAAAATTTCTCCTTAAATTATGACTTTGTCCTCAAAATCAGTTATTGATACAAGTTTACAAGTAATAATTATCACGATATAGTAGCTACACCACCAGAAAACTTGACAAATCAGTCACTATAAAAACTCCAGCAGCAAGGAAAACAACAGTGTGTGTGTAGCACCCAGATAAAGCTCCGTGATTGGAAGCTCATTATAATTGAGTAATGATAGTGTTGATGGAGCCCATTAGAAGGTTCAAAAAGTATATTTGCATGGAGTTTTTAGCTTTGTAGGTATACATGAAGGGGCTTCTGAAAGCTCGTGGAAAATTCCATTGTCTTCTATTTTTCTATGAACTTTCTGAAGTTAAAAAAATTTTTCATTGTTATAATTAACTACAAGAATGTTTTTATAAAAAAAACTAATAACTTTCTCCTGAAACTACCTAAAATTTTTATAGACAGTTATTTTGTTGTCTCCCACTTCTAACAATGTCACCTAGTGTAGTCCACACCCCCACCTCCCCTTGCTCCCCTAGTGACATCAGTGCTGCAACTATGGATCTTGACATCTGCAAAACCTAAGCCCTAGCATTACAAGAACTGGGAACTTTAAGGCCCTGGGACTCTTATATCTGGAGAACCTAATACCCCTGTCCCCCAAATTGCATGGAACTCAGAGGTCTTGCCATCCAGGGACTTAGATATACAGAGACCCTGATACTTGCAACTCCTGAAAAACCTAGCCTTCCAGTATCTAGTCTCCTCAAAACCCTAGTGACTAAACTTCTAGGGGCCCTGGCATGCAGGGAGCATTGTTTCCGGGGACTCAGAAACTCAGACCATGCCACTTGGACCCCTTGATCTTTTCAGACCCCAGAAATGTGGGTACTCTTAAGCATAGGGGAAATTTGAGATATTTTGAACTTAGGTCCCATCCATCCATCATTTTCCTATATCCAGGTCTTAGGACCTGAGGACTTTTCTAATTCTTACTTTTCCAAATTGAAGGCACAGTCACCGGTATCTAGGACCTGCTTGAACTGTGAGCACCCTCCCTACTCTCACTCCAATATTAGACCCTCCAGCAGACTGGATAGCCCAACTTGTACCCAGTTTCCTGACTACTGCCCCAATCAAGCCTGCCCTCTTTTACTTCAGTGCAGTTCCTCCAGATGTGCAGACTCTTCGAGCCTTCACCACTGAGCTGGTTGTAGAGGCTGTGGTCCGCTGTCTGCGTGTGATCAACCCTGCCGTGGGCTCTAGCCTCAGCCCCTTGCTGCCTCTTGCCATGTCTGCCCGGTTCCGCCTGGCCATGAGCCTGGCCCAGGCCTGCATGGTGAGTGTTCTCCACCCAGTACAGACATCTTTCTTTCATTCTTCATTAAGTTGCCAGATTCCTTTGAAACTCTTGCCTTTATTCTCTGCCACCTCCCCTTGTAGCTAGCTCAGCGCTCACTAGTGACTAAGGCTACTGGGCTCTATGGTCAAACTGCCTGAGTAGTTCAGACCCTAGCTCCATCACTTACTAACTGTGGAACCTTAACCTTTCTGGGCCTCAGTTTTCTTTTCTGTGAAATGGACATAATAAAAATCGGGTTGTTGTGAGGATCAAATGAGTTGATAAATTCTTGATCATAGTGCCTGGTATATGACAAATGGTGTATGAGTGTTCATTGGTATTATGATTGTCATCACTGCCTTCTAATATCTTCATTATTTCTTTGCATTTATTGAAGCCTTTACTTCCTTCTCATCATTTCTCGCTGACTCTGCTCAGTGGATTCGATCCTCCCTGAACTGTATCATTTCAGGTTCCATGACCTCTTTACTTAATAGGACTTGTCCTCTGTCTCAGTTCTGCTAGCCACCCAGGACCTGGCCATCGTGTGACATTGAGCACCTCAGATATCTGAAGTTCTGCACATCACTTATCCTTCCAGCTCTCAAATAGTGTCTGCTGAACAAATACCTTTTTTAAATGAGATGCACTGATGCTGATACATTTAACTCTGGTTATTCATTTGTCATTGCTGTACTATTTGTACTGTTGGGTTGAATGATGTTATTATATCTCACCCCCAGCCTTGTAGAACATTTCAAATTTTTTACATCCATCCACTCTTAAGGAAATTATCTTCCACGACCACTATACTATTATCTCATCTAGAAAAATTACCATTGACATAGTAATCTTTTCTAATCTATAGTCTGTTTTCACATTTCTTCAGTTGGCCTCAAAATATCCTTTATAGCATACTTTTTAAATCCAGGATTCAATCAAGGATTGTTGTTGTTGTTGGTAAGAGCCGTTGAGTCGGTTCCGATTCATATCGACCCTGTATAGAGTTTCTGAGGCTTTGAATTTTCATGGGAGCAGAAAGTCAGATCTTTTTTCCATAAAGCGGCTGGCAGGCTTGAACCTCGGACCTTGTAGTTTGCAGTCTAGTGCTTAGAGCCCCCACACTCTTAATCAAGGATTATGCATTGCATTTTATTATCCTGACTCATTTCCTTTAAAGGATCCCTGGTAGCAGAGTGGATTACAAGTTGGACTACTAACCTGAGGATGAGTAGTTAGAATTTACCAGTTGCTCCAGTTGCACCCTGGTAGCATAGTGGATTACAAATTGGACTACTAACCTCAAGGTTAGCGGTTCGAATTTACCAGTTGATCCATGGGAGAAAGGTGAGGTTTTCTGGTATGGTGGCTGTGGGATAATGCACTAGAGCCTGAATAGGGTCACTATGAGTTGGAACCGACTCGATGGCACTTAACAACAACAACAACAACCAAGATTTACAGGCTCAGAAACGCTATACAGTGTCTTTCTGAGTCGGAAGTGATTTGATGGCATACAACCACCACCACCACCACCAGTCTTCTTTAATCTAGAGCAGTCCTCTGCCTTTTTTAGGCTTCACAACATTTTTGAAAGTTGAGACTAATTGCCTTGTGGAATGTCCCATAATCTGGATTGCCTGACTTTTTTTTATCCATTGTATTGTAAAGCAACCATGGTTGCACAGTGGTCAAGCACAAAGCTGCTAACCGTAATGTCAGCGGTTCAAACCCTATGCATGTGTTTTGTTTTTATTTTCTTGTTTTGCTTCCTATTACAAACCAACCTGTAACAAACATTCTCAAACATGTATTTTGGTCATCTCATGCATGAGTTTTTAAAAACATATATATATAATCCTAGTTGTTGAAAATATACACAGCAGAGCATGCACCAGTTGAACAATTTTTGCACATACAGTTCATTGACACTGATTCTAGTCTTGGAGTTGTGCAAGCATCCTCACCCTTCTTTTCTGAGTTGTTCCTCCATTCATATAAACTCACTGCCCCTAAGGTTCCTATGTAATCTTTCAAGGTTGTTGTCACTTTAATTCCATGTCAGTAGATCTTAAAAGAGCACAGTTAAGCTAAACTATTGTGCATGAGTTTTTCTGGAGTGTACCTGGGAGGGAGTTTGACTTCTGTTTCATAACGTATGCAGATCTCCAACTTTACTGCTGCTACTATATGCTATAGAGTTGGTTCCGATTCATAGTGATCCTGTATAGGGTTTCTGAGTCTGTAAATCTTTACGGGAGCAGAAAGTTTCATCTTTCTCTCACAGAGTGGCTGGTGGATTGGAACTGCTGATCTTGCTGTTAGCAGCCCAATATGTAACCCACTACATTACCAACTTTGGTGGTAATGGTTATATGCCGTGGAGTCGGTTCCGACTCATATATAGTCAAATTATCTCCCCAAGTGGTTGTACCAATTTGTATTCCCACTTGCACTGGATGTTGTCACACATTTTAATTTTTGTTCATCTGAGAGTCTTGTTGTTAAGTGCCATTGAATTGCTTCTTAACTCCAGTCGTGCTATAGTTGCTATTTTTAGTAAACTTTTAGATTTACAGAACAATTATAAAGATAGTACAGGCAGTTCCTATACATCCCACAACCAGTTTCTCCAAGTATCTGCCATTAAATCGATTCTGGCTCCTAATGACCCTGAAGGGCAGAGTAGAACTGCTCCACAGGGTTTCCAAGACTATAAATCTTTATGGGAGCAGAAGGCCTCAATCTTACTCCTGTGGAGCGGCTGGTGGATTTGAACCACAGACCTTATGATTACCATGCCAATGCTTAGCCCATTATGCTTCCAGGGCTCTTCATTTTATATTAGTATGGAATCTTGTTGTGGGGATGTACGGTAAGCATGGGACTGCTAGCCACAAGGTTGGCAGTTCAGACCCACCAGCACTGAACAATAACAATGGTACATTTTTCACAATTAATGAGCCAATATTGACATATTGCTGTTAAAGCAGATTTCCTTAGCTTTTAATCTCTTTTTTCTGTTCTAGAATTCTATCAATTTAATCTCATTTTTGTTTTAGTTTGCATTTCTTTAATTATTGATGAGACTTAACATCGTTTCCACATAGACCATTCCTGGTTCCTCATCTCTGAAGTGAGTCTAGGTGGTTTTTGCCCATTTTTCTGTTTATTTTTGTTGTTGTTGTTATTGCTGCTGTGTTTTTCTTACCAATTCATAGGAATTCTTTATACGAGTATATTCTGGATACTAGAAAATGAAGAGGACTTAAAATATTTACTAATGAAGATCAAAGAGCACAGCCTTCGATGTGGATTACATCTCAATATAAAGAAAACAAAAATCCCCACCACTGGACCAATAAACAACATTCTTATCAACAGAGAAAAGATTGAAGTTGTCAAGGACTTCATTCTTCTTGGATCAACTATCAACACTCATGGAAGCAGCAGTCAATAGATCAGATGACATATTGCATTGGGCAAATCTGCTGCATAAGACTTTTAAAGTGTTGAGTGAAGAGCAAAGATGTCAGCTTGAAGACTAAAGTGTGCCTGACCCAAGCCATGGTATTTTCAATGATCTCATATGCATGCGAAAGCTGGACAGTGAATAAGGAAGACCGTAGAAGAATTGATGCTTGTGAGTTATGGTGTTGGAGGAGAATATTGAAAGTGCCATGGGCTGCCAAAAGAACCAACAGATCTGTGTTGGAAGAAGTGCAGCCAGAGTGCTCATTGGGGGCTAGGATGGCCAAACTTCGTCTCTCATACTTCGGACATATTGTCAGGAGGGACCAGTCCCTGGAGAAGGATATCATATTTGGTAAGGTGGAGGGTCAGAGAAAAAGAGGAAGACCCCCAGTGAGATGGATTAGCAAAGTGGCAGCATCAATTGGCTCAAGCATGGCAACAGTTGTGAGGTTGGCCCAGGATCGGGCAGTGTTTCGTTCTGTTGTGCATCGGGTCGCTATGAGTCGGTACCGACTCAATGGCACCTAACAACAACAATAGCAGTCTTCTGTTGGTTATGTGTTTTGTATTCATGCATTCAAACAAATATTCATTGAGTACTTACTATGTACCAGGCAGTGTTCTAGGCAATGGAAATACAGCAATAAACAAAGAAGATAAAAAATTTTACCCTATGTTGTTGTTAAGTGCTGTTGAGTCGGTTCCTACTCATAGCGACCCTGTATAGGGTTTCCAGGGAGCAGCTGGTGAGTTTGAACTGCCAACCTTGTGGTTCAAACTGACCTTATGGTCCAGTGCTTTATCCCACAGTGCCACACCAGAACTCCTTCCCACCCTTATGTTGTTTTCGTTAAGTACCATTGAGTCAGTTCTGACCCATAGCGACCCTTATAGGGTTTCCAAGGAGCAGCTGGTAAGTTTGAACCACCGACCTTGCGGTTCAAATCAACCTTGTAGCGAGTGCTTACCCTGCAGTGCCACACAAGGACTCCTTATGTAGGAGCTGATAAATAAACAAGATGAGTAAGTCTTAGTTATGTAAGTGCTGCTTTAACAGAAATACCACAAGTGTGTAAGTTTCACAAACAGAAATTTATTTTCTCACAGTTAGGAAGGAGACTGGAAGTCTGAATTCAGGGCCCTGGTTCTAGGGGAAGATTTACTTTCTCTGTTGGCTCTCGGGGAAGGTCCTTGTCTCTTTCAGCTTGGTGATCTCTAAGTGTCATTCCCCCATTTGTCCTCGCTTGCTTCTGTGCCTAAACTGCTCTGTTTATATTTTAGAAATGATTGGCTTAAGACACTGATATAGCTCATTGATATAACAAAGAAAACCCTGTTCCTAAATAAAATTATATCCACATGTATTATTGTTGTTGGGAAGTGCCATTGAGCTGGTTCTGACTCATAGCGACTTTGTGTAGGGTTTCCGAGGAGCGGCTGTTGAGTTTGAACCACTGACCTGGCAGTGCAAACTCACCTTGTGGTCGAGTGCTTATCGGGTTTAGGATTTACAACACATAGTT